TTTATGATCTTGGTTCTCCTCTTTCACAAATAAACCCTTGTAGCACCAATAAAATCAGTGGATTTATCCTTCTGCACGTTTAGTATGAGAAGAAAAAAAATCTCCAAATACATCAGGAAAATCCCCTTGCTTTCTTAATATGAGAAGGGGAAGATTAATATCACTTATTCTGCTAGGAATAAAAGAGCTGGTGTGCAGCTGTCAATTTTCAGAATTGCAGTGTAAAGCAGAGTTGCTACTCGGTTTAATGAGAAATCAGAGGAAAATCTGGAGCAATACCCTATCACAGCACTAGGATAATAGCTGAGACGCAGAAAGGACCCGTGCTACACTGTGCTCCTTTACGAGTGCATTTTATTAGCAGACTACAGCGTTTGCCACAGTGATGTAAAGCATGTGAAGTCCCACCTTAAGGTTGCAACACATATATATAATATAAGCATTGCAAATTCCTCAGAGTGTATGAAAACAAGAAAGAGAAAGCCTAAACCTGATTAAGACCTATGTTTGAGATATATTATCCCCACTATCCATCTTATGTCAACTGGTCCATCATTCCACTTCAGCAGAAACAACCAGACATCAGGCTAGCTTAGTAGACTGATTTTTGTTCATTTTTTCAGACCTTATCAACTTCTCCCAGTCTTTTCTCTTGCCATTGATCTACGCAAAAGCCTGAAACGATCTGGTGCAAACGGAGTAAAACATCAGAATTAGAAGATGCTGCTCGTATTTGCCATGTGGATCCATCTGGATTTCTTTTCTTTTGCTTGATGACCCAGCCTTTACAGAAACTCCATTTGTTAAAACCCAAATCACTAATACATGCATGCAGAAGAGCAACATGGGCAAAACAGGTTAAAGACAACAGTCTCTAAGTTCAGAAACAGCATAGGCTGGTTGCCCAGCTCCTGGGCAGATGAAATTATGTCCCCAGCTTGGATGTTAACAGGTCCCAACAGAGTTTCCAACTGTACTGTCATCTGTCAGAGTTAAGGCTGTTGAAGTTGGAAGTTACACGGATGTAGCTAAACACGGAACTTGTCCTCGTGGTGGACCTAAGAAACACATTGTTTTCCCACTGATAGTCATGGGGTATTTGGAAGAAAACTGCAGTACTTGTTCTAAAAAAATAATGCACCTGTGAGTACTTAGCTGGATAAAAATATCAGAATCTGGCCCTTAAAATTCAGAATGGCTAAGGCTAAGGCTGGCCAGAAACCGCTGCTGCTCAGCAGAGGCTTTTAACAGCAAAAACTCCCCTGGAACCAGTTTGCCCTGGTATTTTCTTTCATTTTGAATAAAGGTGAACTGAAACTTTGCCAGACGTACACCATCACAGTCACTAACTGCTGGTCTCTGCACCAGCTTTGGATGTTTTGCTAAACGTCATCCCTCAAGGAGGAAAACAGCAGTTCAGCAGTGCTCCTTCTTGGATTAATCCAGAACATTTTAAGCATTTGAACTCTGGCTGTGGAGCAGCAAGGCACGTTATTTCTAATGGCTTCTGCCTTGCTGGCCTAAGATCTTTTTCCCATACTGGGCAACACACTGCCCATAATAAAACACAGATTCATTATTCCAAAGGTTGACTCTTAAAATTAGTCTAAGTGGGAGAACTTGGCAAAAAGATGGACTGCCAAAGTTAATTTGGCCTGTTATCAATTCAATAGGCTTAAATAGGCAGTGAAAGTGTTTCATAATTGTTCATTGTTCAGAGTTCAAGCTAATACCTTCTGCTAAATTGCATTTTGAAGTTTAATCACAATCTACTTTATGTTTCTTTTAGTAATTGGGATCTCTCCACAGTATAATATGAAGAACTCAAACTAATGGGCTCCTCTGATGGAAGTTTAAATTTTGGAAGTTTGCCTCAAATTGCAGTGAGAGAGAGTGCTTGAAATAACGCAGAAACTTTCACCTAAATAAGGCATTAATCTTTCGATCATTAAGGAAGTCTCATAATATTACAGGCGATAGCAACAAAATAACGATTATTTTAAGTTCTGTTATTTTGGACCATAATTAATGGGAGTAATTTCAACCCCCTGACGCACGCACGCATGCACTGCCTCACTCGGCACGGGAGCTGTTGGGGACCTGGCTGCTGCTCATTTTGTCCGAAATGTTAAAAGTCGGCATTTTCTTTACCGAAGGGAGAAACAGCGAGAAATGCTCATTTCTGGGCAGCATTTTGCTCCAGGGAGGGATATGGATACTGGGAAATGGCACCCAGTAAGCTGTGACTGACACGTAGTCCACGGTCTGGGCACTTGTCCAAATGCATGTTGTCAAGTCCGCTACGCCTGATATCGTCTTGTTCAATGCCAGGCTTTTTTTTTTTTTTTTTTTTTTCCTACCCCCTCTTTCTCTCCTCCATCAGCTCCCTGAGTTTCTTGCACCTTAGGCATTATGCTGTGGACAAATATATTTCCCTGCCACCGCGTACTGAATAAGCACCCTAAAACCTTTGTTTGCAGTGTGACTGCTCTAATCACGTCAGCAGAGATCTGACATGGAGGCTTCTCCTTCTGCCCCTCGTACTGAAACAAAATAAACACAAATGTCTTTCTATATGTAGAAGCAAAGATGAGGACATAGGTGTTTTAAATCTGCTGCTTTGATTTACAGTCTTTTTCTTTTTCTAATGACCTTGCTGCTATTCATTGAAAGATGCTAAGTACAGAAATGTTCTATTTTATTGCTAAAAATAATTAGCAAATAATTGAGTTCTATGCAGTTTTCAAGAAATGCAAAGCAAAACATACAGTTTAAAAAGGGAGAAACCCAGGAAAACTATGTCTGTAATAATAATGGAAAAACCCTGCTATCTTACTTAATGATCAGAAAAATATTGGCCCAAATAAAGCTGACAAGAATGCTGCAAGATTTATTGTGTGCTGCATGCATGTATACACGTGGGCTCACTCTCCTGCCAGTAAGAACTGGGGAGTCATCAACAGAATTCAAAGGTATTTTATCCAGTTGCACTAAAAGAGAACATGTCCCACAGACTGGAACTGAAAACAGACGGAACATAAATACTGTTTGAAAGAGCATTATGGCTCCTGACAATAAGGTATATTTCCTGCAGTAAAAGGCTGAAATTAATGTACTCTGTCAAATAAACACATGACTTCATGGTGTCTCTGATTTATAGATGTTAGAATTATTAGGAGCATAAGACATTGTCACAAACAATTCTGCATCAAAATCGTTGTGCACTGGCATTTTTATAGCAATTTTCAATAATTTCAGCTACACTTATGTCAACCTGGAATGATTCTATTGACTTTCACAGAATCACTTCAGGTTTAGGAGCAGGTCTGTAACATGCAGAAATTGTACAGTAAAATTTCCACTGTATACAAAGGAAACAGATGTGGGTCCAGATGCAGATGGTGAACTCTCTGTTACCTGAGACATTTCATTCCTTTTTCTGGCTTACAAATGATATATCATAGCTAAAATAAACTTACAGGCTCTGTGCAGAAATTAGTGGTTGAAGTCTCTGACTCAGTGCTGTGGGATAGCTAAACCATGATGATCCTAATGGTCCTCTCTGACCTCAAAATTATGAATCTCCTACCGGTAGAAACATGTGAAAAAGCCATCAGAAACAGTTTTACCTTGTCAAACAAAATAAAATGAGCTAGTAATTCTGAAATAAAGATGGGGAAGAAGAAAATTTTGGGTTCTGATCCAGTTCAGGGCAATATAGAACCTGTACCATTGAACAGAAATGGTGGTGGCAGCCAGGTCTATCATTGATGTATCATAGAGGCAGTTACTCATATGAAGTCTGGAAACTTGGTTTTCCTGCGTTTGGAAGCACAGCTGTGCAGGTGGGAAACTAGGAAACCCTGAGAGGAAAGACATTGTCCCCTTCCCACAGACAGTATTCCCTGCCAGGTCACGGGAAGGTGAGCCCCAGCAAGCACAGCAAAAAATCTTTGCTATTTAAGGATTTCTGCAGCCAGGGTTGAGCCTCAGGCAAGAGGATGGGCCAGCCCTCTGCCTGCTTTGTAGTCTCAGGATGGCACAAATTGGTTATGGTGGGAGCTGGGACCTGGTCGCTGTGCACGGAAAGGCAGCGCTCCCACGGCATGCGTGCCTGGTGTCGAGAAAGGGGTAAGAAGCTGCAAAGCACTCCATCCCGGCAGCAGGCAGCCAGCACTTTCCATATGACCCAATTAGCCACTCCATCGGAACAAATCAATAATGGCATTTTCTGAAGACAAGCAGGCAAGTGCTGCTGGCTCGGCACTGCGCTGCATGTGAAAATACAAAGGTGTTATCTCTGCGGAAAGCAGCATCCGTGCCTGGCTTTGTCACTGCGGCATGGATTTTTGTCTCAGTGGCATGCTATAGGCAGATCAAGTTGAGGGCAGTAGTTTGAGTAAAGCAGCAGACGTAGTAATTAAATTTAAGAAAGAGGAGAAAGCAATAACAACCCTGTTGGGCTCACTCAAACAACAAGGAAAGGGTAGAGCCATTTTCTTAGGTTGTACTAATAAAATTTGCTGACTGTAGGAATGTAGCAATGCAGGAAAGGATCCAGACAGCGTGCAGAAAGACCCGGACATCATTAAGGTCTGGGCTAATAGAAACAAGACAGAGTTCAACAGTATAAGTGCAGGACAGCATACTTTGGGGACTGATTCCGGACACCCAGTGTTACTCATCTGGAACCTCCTTTTAGCCCATTAATCACAGGATTCCTCTGAACCACAAAGTGATGTCACTGTGAAAAAGACACACGCCATTCTGGGCTACAGCTGTGGGCACCTTGAAGGTTAAGCAATACTAAAGTTGGAATTTTGAAGACGTAAACTTTGGACTTATGTGTCTACTGTAAATGGTACAAATCCCTCTGATGTTTGAAACTTTCAAAGTAGTTCAGTTGCAGGTAAATTCTGGTAGAATCCACTGTCAGGTGGACTGGACTATGCACACTGAATTGTCCCATTCCCTTACTGTCCCCATAGTCTGGTTCTTACTCTCTCAGGAGACTGAAAGATGATGTCACATATGAAAAGATGGTCTTTATAAGCAATTGCAAGACACTCTATGGAGGTTCAAGAAAATAATTTCCACATTTTAATCACCTAGGAAGCCAAAATACGAACTCAAAAGAGCTTGAGAAGATGCAGCCAGCATGTTACTGTGGTTGCTGCTGAGCTTTTGGGAGCTGTTTTCCTGCTAGGACAACCCATAATTAAATTATATATCACAAAGACAGAGGAAAAATGGAAGTCAATTGTTGTTCTCATGATGAGGCTAAATGGCCCATCAAATCCTGAAGAAGTCTTGTGGACCAACAGGGAGAAGCTTCCCCAGCACTATGAGCAGGGCAAGGAGTGGGGGTTAGATAAAGACAGAAGCTAAAATGTTGCAGTGACTGGCATCAACACACGTACCACACAATAATGACTAATGAATTAAGTTCAAGGTGGTCCTTTCTCAGCCTCACTCCTCTCCTGCCAGCTTCTTGCACCTGACTTTTGTTGTTCAGTTTTTCCTTCTGATCCTTTCACCATACATGTGGGCTACGGACATGTGTCTCCTGACTCTCCGAGCCAGCAGAGGATCTCACTTGCATCTCAGTAATCAAAGCAGATTTGGAAGCTATCAGGTGGGCTCACTCTTTCAAAACCCCCCCAATGACACTGCCACAAATGGGCAGCTTTCAGGAAGACGGCTGCTGCCAGTGTAAGTTTTGATGATAGAAATGGCAGCTGAAATTTAAACTTAGACATTTCTATTACTCAGAGGAAAATGTGCAGTCACAGAAGGGTTTCTCATCATCTGAAATTTCAAACTGCTGTGTGTAACGCTGTGGGGCCCATTTCTCATAACCACAATGGCTTACTTTAGAGTAGTTTTGTGACTTTCTGGGAAGAGCCCTGCACTGGTACATGAGCTGTAAGCTGAGCTGATCATCACCCTAAAATACCCCATTGGGATCAACAACCTTGCGGCTCTGCCTGAGACCAGCCTCCCTTTAGGCTCTCCGTCATGACGGATGAGTCTGGACTGATGTGAGCGCACAATGAACAGAATATGGTCCAGGATCTTGAAGTGAGAGAAAGTGTAAAGGACACGTAAGGATCATGTGGGCTTATCTAGTCATGCACTTGAGAGGTATACACACATAGACTCCCTTTTTATGGATTTCCTTTTGCCTCCTCTTCCATACTATTGCACGAAAATCTACATGCACGAGGAGGAAGGCAGGTTCTGGCAATGCCAAAGGGCTGCTAAATTCCAGGTCAGCCAACAACTTTAAATGGAAGCAGGGTACATTGTCTTCTCCTGAGAAGTAAATATACATACACATTCTCTTTGTACACACTAAAATATTTAAATATGTAAAAATATGGATTATAATTAGGGGAAAGTCAGAATATATTTGAATGTTTAGCGTACCCTTGGTAGTTCTTGTTTCATTTCTGTATTCTGCCCTCCACACAAAAAGATACTTCACCGTAATCGCGCCCTTTCAGTGCAATCATGTAAATTTTGCTCTTGTTCACATTGCTCTTCCTTTGCGAGCTCTGCCACTGTTATCATGGCTATCCTGGAAAGAAGGCACTGAGGACCTCCATGGAGTCGGGGCTTGCAGGATTAAAGCTTCTGTAACTCAGTGGGGGAGTTTATTCCCCAGAGTCCCACAGGGCTGCCCTTGATACAAAGGTTGGCACACTATAATGCCCACAACTCTCTATTCAGGGAACTGGGATTTCATACTGTCCTCCAGGTGCAATAACTTTTGCAGTAACCTACATGTTGATCAAGAGAGTTTTTTTGTGGGTCCAGACATCATCCATCTTTGGAATGGGCACCATTAAAAATGACAGATCTTTGAATCATTTGGGTTTTGCTTTCTCATGGCTCTGCTCCTTACGGAGACATTTACAGCTGTGTAAATTTATGAGGGTTTTGGAGGAAAGGAAATGCAAAGCTCATCACACAATTATAATTTCTGCTGTTGAGCTTCTTCCTATTTTTTTGCAGATTTATTATGCCATTGTATTTTGAATCTTTGAGTTGGAACCCCCTTGCATGCACACGTTTTCCTCTCTAGAAATTTGATAAAATTATTTGCTGGATATATGTGCTCACTTCTTGTTTGGACCTTTTCAGCAGTAGTCCCCTCAGGCCTGCAGATAGAGGTTGAAAACCATTGATCAGGGCTATGTACAGGGGAACGGCAGTGACCTGCAGCAGCTGTTTGTCAGAGCTTGGAAAACACTAGTGACAAAGCTAATTAATACATTTCTTGACTCCCTGCCTTCTAGTTAACACACAAGCTAGCAGTGAACTATATTATTTCACTGCAATCCAAATATCCTGTGGTAATGTGACGTTACTCTAATGTTTATTGAAAATTTCAGTAAGAGATATAGTGAGAAAACAGTCCTTTGGTTTGTCCCTCATGCTGGGTTTTGTTTACTGGTATTTTGTTTCACTCTGAGTCCTTGATGTTTATATTACATATCATAAAGTTTCAATGTTATTGAAAAAATTTGACATTTTCTTAATATTTTCAAATCAACTTTTGTTTATAATGTTCCATTTCACTAAAATGCCTATTTTTGTACATCGCTTCTCTCCCTCATAATTCTAATAGATCCCACTAAAGGTCTAATTCCACATTTGCTTGCTATACAGCATAAAATGGACAGCTACCTGTTCCGTCCACTAATATACACACCAGCACCTGCATGGACACATTGTGCAGCTAAATACAAATTCACGTTTCTATACTTTTAAGGTACGGTAAGATGTAAAAATCCCAAACTCTCCATGCTCTGTGCTGCAGTTTAGCTTACAACTGTCAACATTGCTATTTATCTTGAGGAAGGCGGAATACAGTGATGGAATGTGCACATCTGTGCACGCACACACACACACACACACACACACACACTTCCAGACCTCATGGACATTTATGTGCAAAGTTTCAACAAACTTTTGCTTTACACAGTGAAGTAAACATCTAAGAGTTTTTAAGATTATGACCCTCTGTCAGATGTAGCAGAAAGGTGTGGATATCTTTAAAGACCAAAAATTAAAAAGCAAAACAAAACAAAACAAAACTCCAGAATTAATCACTTTTGTACACTATTAAACACATTTAGAGTAGTGAGTATTTGCAGATTGGCTGGTACTAAGAAACCTATTTACTATATTCATATTTCACTTTTCAAATGTACTCTGCTTGTAGGTTTAACTAATACAACACAGGGAACAGAGAAGAAAAAAAATAGGTATTATCCATGCAACACTGATCCACAGGTCATTTCAACAAAAGTATTCCTTAAAAAAGATACCAGAAACTCATTAAAAGTGTTTACCAACACTTTCAGACTTCTTGTTTTGTTACCTAGGTGTCTATTTGGACAGTGGGGTTTGATGATAAAGTTTTCTGACCCGTTGCTCTTCAGCTCTCCAAGGGGATGATCAATGTGTAAGACTTGCTGGTGAGCAGATGCACTAACACTGAGATTTCTGCAATGGAGCAGCAGAAATTAACATTTAGCAGCTGATTTGTGCCCACCTCCTGACATGGGGTCCTTCCTCAAGGGTTTTTTTAGGACAGCCATTCCCTGAGGACAGTTTTGCTTCAAAACTTTCTTCCCTTCAACTGAGAGATTGGGGATCCCTCCTGACAGCTGGATCTGAAACAGGAGCTTTGATCCAGTGCCTGCTGAAGTCCGCAGGTCTCAGCCAGCGTCAGAGGATGCTGGATCAAGGCTGGAGGGTCTGGAAAACATTAACTAGATATGGTGTGTGGAGCCAAGAGATAAAGCTGGTAGAAAGGGGAGAGGAGGAGAAGTAGAGAAAGAAAAGCGTTCCTGTGAAGATTTTTCTTTTCCGTTTTACACCAACACTTTGAACCACATAGAATTTTTCAGCCTTTTCTACTAGGTGCTCTGGGGAAAAAGAAAATCTGCGATACCACATCAAAGAACAGGCAAATAACTATTTTTCCTGTCTGAATAGATATGATTATATATCTTCTCTTTTTCTCTGGTGCCTTGTCATATCAGCCTCTGCCTTGTACTTTTAAGAGAACTACCTGACCCTCCATTCTTGCTGCACAAATAAACCAAGCCATTGCCCGGTTTTGCACACTGTCGTAGTCAGAGGACCTAAGATCTGTTCTGTAACTTTCCCATGATTTAGCTGAAAGAAAAAAATATCAGTCTCCTGTGTGAGAAAGTGCTTAATTGCTCTGGTTAGAAGAATTAATCTAAAGCACAGAGAATACAAAGAAAGTGAATGCCTCTTGTTGGAGACTGAATTTTGCTCTTGGATATGCACCTGTAACTTCTTCTGAAGTTAACAGCATATCAAAGGCAGGATTAGGCCATAGGACATTTGCATCATGAGCCATGGATCCAGATCAAGGGAGGGGACAAAGGCCATCTTAATTAACTGCAAGTAGCAAATATTTTAGTTGCCTACCTGCTCCATTTCTGTATAGGTGCTCTGCTCCTCATCTTCCTCCTCGATATCTGACTCTCCCACAGCGATAGGAACACAAATGGACAGGTCAGGATTGGTCATAAAATCATCATTGTCTGTAATTCGTAGGTGTTTCTCCCCATTTTTATTCATTACATCCTCAGTGTGGTTCTCTTTGTGATTCTCCATGTCTTTGCCAAGCTCAGCAGTTGTGTGACTGTTCACGCAATTGTTAAGGGCACCTGTATTCTGGGCAGCAAGCTTCATCATTGCCTTCTTCTCAGCCGTCGTCTTGGGGTGCCGGAGAACATTGCAGCAAAAATCCCATGTCGTGCGTTTCACATACTGAAGACCTCTGTTGATCCGAGCAAAAGCAAGCTGCAGGTTGTTCATCTCCCCGTCCTCGTCTGGTGCTGAGAGGTTGTCAGCACTGAAAGAGCTTAGCAGCAAGGCAAGGAAGAGGTTGAGCACCTGGAAAAAATCAAGTTAAAAGGATATCGATGACCCTTAAATGTGGAGGATGAATGTTCAGTCTTGTAAGCAGGAGAGTCCGAGTCTCATCTCATCTGTGTCACCGTAACACCACCAGCATTCATGAAACTATATCTAATTATAGGTGGTTTCAGTAGGAAAAGGAGAACTGCAGACATCTCCAAACACAGTAATTTCAGGTGCAGAAGTATATCATGGACAACAACATGTTCTGACATTCCCTTTCCCCATCAAACACCCCAAAACACAGAAAGGAAAAGATAAAGCTCAGAAATAGAATATAGGATAAAACTTTCATTGGAAGCTACATAGTGTAAATTTTCTCATAATAGTGGTATAATGAATTTCCCGTAATTGCCAGTATTCCATCTTGGAGAAAATCACTAATTGCAATATTAATTGACATCCAGGAAGGTACTGTTTACATGTAGAAAAAGACTATAGGAAGAATGTTTTTGGGACCTTTTTGTTTTTCACTCAGTGTGAATATTTTCGTTTATATTTTATAGTATAGAATATATAGGGACCTTGACAAGCACGAGAAGTGGGTCTATGTGAATCTCATGACGTTCAGCAAGGCCACGTGCAAAGTCCTGCAATCAGATTGGGGCAGCCACCAGTATCAACACAGGATCAACACAGGCTGGGGGATGAAGGGATTGAGAGCAGCCCTGCGGAGAAAAACTTAGGGGTACTGGTGGACAAAAAGCTGGACATAAGCCAGCAATGTGCACTTGCAGCCCAGAAAGAGTCAACCATATCCTGGGCAGCATCAAAAACGGTGTGGCTGGCAGGTCAAGGGAGGTGATTCTCCCCCTCTGCTCTGCTCTGGTGAGACCCCACCTGCAGTACTGTGCTCAGCTCTGGAGTCCTCAGCATAAGAAAGACATGAACCTGCTCGAGTGGGTCCAGAGGAGGCCACGAAGAAGATCAGGGGCTGGAGCACCTCCCCTGTGAGGACAGGCTGAGAGAGTTGGGGTTGTTCAGCCTGGAGAAGAGAGGGTTCTGTGGAGACCTTGTAGTGGCCTTTCAATATTTAAAGGGGGCCTACAAGAAAGATGAGGACACTTTTTAGTAGGGCCTGTTGTAATAGGACAAGGGATAATGGCTTTAAACTAAAAGAGGGGAGATTTTGACTAGATATAAGGAAGAAATTTTTTATAATGAGGGTGGTGAAACACTGAAAGAGGTTGTCCAAATAGGTTGTAGATGCCCCAATGCTGAAAATATTCCAGGTCAGGTTGGATGGGGCTCTGAGCAACCTGATCTAGTGGATGATGTCCCTGCTCATTGCAGGGGAGTTGGACTAAATGACCTTTAAAGATACCTTTCCACCCAAACGATTCTGTGATTCCATGATAATGATATCCATATGCATGGCACTTAAACCAAACAGTATGTTTGGAAACATTTCTAAACATTTCTATGTATTTTCACAGGTAGGCTTGATTTAAATATCCTCTAGGCCGTGAGGAAAATCTATTGTGACCGTGAATAAACAGCTAAGAGGTCATATAGTTTCAAATCCTTTTTCCTCCAGGCAAAAACAAGCCATCACAACCAGGATTAATGTGGTCAAATCTGAGCAGGGCTCACCCCCAAAGCAGGCTTGGTCCTCAAAAGGCTGCTATTAGTCAGGAAAAAAATATTTGAAGATTTTCACAGATATATGAGAAGATCCAAATTGAACTGGAGACTGTAAGATGGCTTCCTCTTGTTCTTGCAGCTTCAGAACTGTCTACCTTTGCTGGCAGTGCATGCAAGATTACACACAACTACTCATTTAGGTGACATATTTGATGATTTAAATCTCTTTTTACCTTCCTTTTTTTTTCCCCCCTCAATGAATACAATTATATCCAATAAATTTATCCAGCTTCTTCTAGAAGGCTATTCCCAGTAATACATCTTGCAGACTGATCACCAGTTGCTGTGTAGGGGACATTACACTTGCTCGTGGTCTGAGAAGGAATGAATTACAGCTTTAGTGCTGGATTGACAAGGGCAAGAAGCTCACACTGGAGGTAGATGCTTGGGATGACAGGAATGGGGTAAAAGTGACTCAAACCAATATCAGCTAAATATATTTACTCAAAATAAACTAGGACCAAGTTGCCTGCTATCAACTCATCTGCTGCCTATACAAGCTGGGTGCCAGCTCTGTGGCACTGCAAGGGAGAAATCAGTGCTGCAGCACTTCTGCCATTTTAGCAATATTAAACTTTGTGAAGATATTTTCTCTGTGATCCCTTAATGCTACCAGAAATATTTGTAAGTCTGTCCCCTGGCTTCTGAATTTCTGATAGTACTATAAATTGATAAAGTCTTCTAGACCAAGATAAACACTATAAAAAGTACTTATATTTAACTGGGCCATAACAAACAGCCACAAGGTTTTGCTATCGCCACCCCCCACCCC